GTATGAAATCGTTCCAGCCATTCTGGGAAATAAAATTCAGCCTGTGCACCAGAAAATTTATTCCTTGTGCTAGAAACTGCACTGCATTTTCAGTGAATAGAGCCTGAAATTCTCCGTTTTAGTTAAAATTTAAATAAAAGATTTTAAAGAGAGCTGCTAGGGAAACATGCAAGCCACATCACATTTATTTAAATTTTAGCGTTTTTTTTAGAAAGGTTTAACAATTTTTAGAAAAGTTTTTCTAAGTTTTAACACTTTTGTCGTCTTCGAAGTTTGATCCTCTTTTTTACTCTTTTTTTTAACTCTTTTTAATATTTTCTTTAAATTGCGCGTGTTTTCCGGTAAATTTTGCATCTTTTTAAGAAATTTCTTATTTCCTTGACTCGTTTTTATTCTTCACCCATGATACTGCACCATTTGAACTGATTTTTTTCTGTTTGAACTCGGAGCTGACACTCTGTCTTTTTTTTTTGCGTGCTCAAGTGAGTGATTACCGAACTTTTTTTTAATTGATGTATTAAAGTGATATGTTATTTTAGAATGCGTATGAAGTCATCTCTTCTTGGTGAAATTATGACCAGGCATCACGATAAACGAATCGATCGAGGTACCAAAAGAAGAAAGGAGAAACGACACAGTAAGCATAGCGTAAGCTCAAAGAAAAAGCCACTGCGCAAACGATCGCCATCAACAAGTTCATCCACATCTTCCAGTCGTAGCCCTGCACCATCGGTGAGTTTCTTCTTAAACTGCTAGCTAATAAAATACTGCATGATGAGGCATTAAAACGGCCTTAATTAAATTCTAAATTTTATTCAAAGAATTTTTATCAGAGGCCTAGGTAAATTTGGATTTCATAATGCCAAGAAAAAAAAGGATTCACCACATACACACATACAGACATACACACAAACACACACATCTGCCTTGTGATTGGAATACTTTGATGATTTATAATTCATACAGTCCGATTCTTCAGCTGTGCGAGTAACTGTCAGCTCTTCCAGTTGCTTTGACCAACGCTTCAGCAGTTGTTGGCCAGCCGGCTTGCAGTGCTGAGATTAGTTTCGTCTTTTGAAGGGATTACCAGCTTAGTGATTCTCCCAATAAAGGTACCTTCCCTGGTCTTTAGCCGTTTCAACATCTCCATGGCGTGTGTATGTTGCGTAGCTTGATCCAGTTTCGTACGCTGTTCTTTCCAGTCCAGGATAAGATCCTTCACCGAGTAACAAATACTTTGTTGTATGGAGTAAAAACGTATCGTTGAGCACAAGAGCATTGAGAACTAGTGGTAAGGCAAGGCATTCAAGACGAGACTTGCAGGAACCAGGCATTGGAAGGGCTATTTTTTAGTGTAACAAACCTGAAAGTCAGTTAACCGAAATCATGTCCACAAAAATAAGAGTACAGAAGATGGACAGGGGTCAGGACGGAATTGCGAATCTTCAGCGATTTTCTTGTGAATACGCAGCACTGACGAAGCCTCAAGCGGGAGACGTATAGTCAGAAGAGTTCTGACATCTGTCGACTTTTTTTATGTACCGTTTATTAGTCGTCATTTCTGTGGAAGGAAAAAAAAAAAACCTTTTTTAAATCCTTTCGGAAAGCTTCACAGAGGGAATGGCTCCTCGCGAAGGCATTTTTATCACAATAATAACTAGAAAATGAGAGAATTTGAAAATTTTTCGTTTTTGTTTGATAAGATTCCTCGATAACTTGTTTCCTTGCAGTAGCACTGCTGCATCGTACATAAAATGTACAGACGTATTTGCATTGCCTACCTTTCTCGCAGTGTGGATTCTACCATATTAGGTGACAAAGCTGTAGCAACGCACAAAAAATTTTTTAATAAAAGTTTGGGATGATTTGCCTGGAAACTTTCTCCTTCCTCAGTTTCTAATTAATTTTGCCGATGCTATTAGTATTTCCGCTGTATGGCCTCACCTTCAGAAGCATTGTAAATTAGTGCATTAATCTTCTACTGTGTTCTGAATTTAACAAAAGTGTTGGGTTGGTGACCAAGCGGCTCGTCGAATGCTTCGGTGTACGGGCTTGTTGAGTTGGGTCGTCGAATCCTTAGCGATAGTTCGGGGTAGTAGGGTCCACGTCCTTCGTGAGTCATCTGGGTCGCCTCCACAATACTACAACACCACACTGAATCAGCATCCTCCAGCACTGACACAGCGGCCTTGTATAGGCCGCTTCGTGCCATTACATCGTGACCTATCTAGGAGGGAATCATGGTGCAACAAAACGCATGGGATGTACGTATGTTCTGCTTAAACGAAACAATATAAAACATTGATTGTATCGCGTAAAATAAAGTGCTTTTTTGCCAATAATATGATTGGCTTTCTATTGCAGACATCGTTAGTGGTGGTACCACCACCGCCACCTCCACCAATCCCGGTCATTCCAGCCAGTGTTCCACCTCCAGCAGTAGCAGCACCATCTTATACATCACCAGCACCCACTTTCATCCCTCCACCACCTGCACCGGTTAGCATGGATCCGAATGCATATCAGGCAGCCATGTCTGCCTATACTGCGCAGTACAATTATGCTGGCCAGGTAATTTTTTACCACTTTTCTAATTCGAATTATCGGCTTTTTCTTTGCACTGTATGGCTCAAGTGCGGAGTTATTACTTTTCTTTGAATTCTTACTTACCTTTTAGTTACAACCTTTTTCATAGCTTCAAGAAATATTCAAGTGTGAAAATACCAATTGTGAAAATTGGATGTTTTGGTCAGCCGTTGTTTCATCGCCGCTTCCCTTCTCATCATTGGTACAGCTGGCAACTTCTCCAGTTTTCCCTACTTTTGGTTTCTTCCCTCCACATAATCCTATTCAGTCGTTTGGGAGGACCTTTCCATCGAATTGGTGGCCTTACTTTTTTCAGCTAAAATTGTACCCCGCGATTTAGTGCAGAAAATGGTATTGGATAGGTTTCGTTTTTTTTTTTTTCGAATTCCTCAAAGGCTGTATATGATTGCTAACTTAGTTTAGGTTCATTCAGATTTAGTTTTGGCTTGGGAATTTCTGCAGTTAGCGGGTGGCCCTTCTAA